CAAGTGGGCAGAGTTAAATGACATTTGTGCTGCGCTTCAGTCACTCTCTGTAGGGATTCATCCACTCTCCCCTCAGCTGCCTTATGGAGCGCTGACACAGCACCTCGCTCCATCTGACCAGCAGCTACACACACTAACTAAAAAAAAAAAAAACACAAGAGGAGGAGAAAACGCAACCTGTGTGCAATCTCTGCTTGTGCCAGCGCTGCTTTATCCTGACGGGAATATTCAAACACACGGCGGGCGATGGACTCGGACATTACTCGGCCGATCTTTCCAATAACAAAATAAATAAAAGTGGTGGGAAGCTTAGGAGGGAGTAATAAAAGGTGAGCGATAGGAGCAGCAGATCTGAGGATGCAGCTCTACGTTCAAACACTACACAAGTTGCTTCAAGGACGTTGTTCGGCACCAAGAAAAAAGGCGACACTACTGAGACTGAACCTGAATCAATAATCTGTCATCACAGTAAAGAATAAAACACTTCTTTACAGTACAGAAGATATGAATCAGAAGGGGCACTCTTTACTTGTTAATGTACTGTTTTAAATGTAAGAAACTCTGCTTTTGTGTGCGATTAATACTTCCCTAACTTCTTCTGGAGAGTCAGGCCTCCAGTTATATCACAACCGAGAGAATATCTGATCTAATGATTAAATAAAAGGTTAAAATACGATCCGATGACTGAAATAAATACTGTCAGGATGCCACCTCGCTGTGTGTCTCCTCTTACCTCGCTGTTGTGTCCTCTGAGATTGAAGTTGACTCTCTGCGGGGTGGGCCGGTCCCGTCTGCAGTGGCTGGACGTGAACGTGACCCCGACCACTCCTCGGCCGTTCCCGGTGGCCAGCCAGCCCTCCTCGTAGTAGCGCTTCCTGCACACCGGCTTCTCCTTCTCGCTCTTGGGCACCCGGCCCTTCCAAGACAGGCACAGGATGTTGGAGTCGCTGCAGAGGACCGGGCCATGCTCCACGGCGGCGAACATCCCTGCGGATCTCTACACACACCCCCAAAAAAACCGAAAAACAACAACAGAACCAGAACAAAGAGACCCAGAGAGAGGTCGGGGCTCGGCTCGTCGGATGGGTCGGTACCGTTATGAGCGACGACGGTGCATAGTACTTGGCGCTTCTCCCGTCGGCTGTTCCGGTGATTTGCAATAGTGATCAGAAGGTGATCAATGAGAACTCCGAGTGACACCACGAAGCTGTGGACTTTAGCATTGCTTGGTCGAAGACATCACAGACACGACAACAACAAAAAAGGCACTCGTTCAAGTCATTTTGAAGCGTTTGATCAGCGAGCCGCCTTGTTGATGCTGTTTCGATGACAAGGCGACGGATGAGAGAGTACCGGGGGATTATTTAGAAATCCACCGTGTCAGCTGATTGATCAAAAACAAACATCCACAACAACAAGAAAGAAAGAAAAAGCTTTTATCTTGTAAACTCGTCAACAGGCAACGCATCCATTTCCTTCCCCTCCCTGCTTCCAGTCGATGCGAGAGACGCTTCTGTCCAGTTCAGTGTGTCATGTCTGGGCTCCGTCGTGTCCTCCTCATACGACCCCGGCCGTGTGTGTGTGTGAGAGAGGAGGAGGAGGAGGAGGAGGAGGAGGAGGAGGAGGAGGAGCAGGGACTCCTCTCCATCAGCTGTCAGCCCGCAGGAGAGCCGCTTCTCCCGGTAACCTCATCACGTCAGCCAGTCTGCCTTTTCAACCCGCCTCGGGGATCCCATGGATGACTGCTGGATGAATGCAACAAAATAAATAATAAAGAGTGTGTTTTTATTATTATTATTATTACGCA